TTAAACCTAAGGCAAGAAGACAGGGAAAGGAGAGATAATTCTCTACTTTCAGTTCCTATGCATGAATTTTCATATTCCATTCCTACACATTAGCACCTTAGTATTAAGTTGAGAGAACTTCTGCCCCTTTCTTCTGAGATATTAAAGCCGTAACACATAGACAGTTTTTTCAGTTAATATCGCATCTCCAGTTCTGGAAACTTGTGGCCTCACAGATATCCAGATAAGATCCTTGAGACTTTGTCTGTGCACCTCTTCCCTTTCTGTCTTTGACCTTTCCTTTTTCATCTTTGAAAACTTTCAGCTTTCACTAAAATCCAATTCCCTATTTCAAAATGTCTAATACAGTAATATCACCACTTTTGATTCTCTGCCTCTCTGGCCCTCTGGCCTCTTTCACCTTCTCCTCATTCCTAAAAAAAAAAAAAAAAAGCAATTTTCTTAACCCTTTATGACAGTTTTGCCTGTAATCAGGGTTAATTTCAAGAGACGGAGGTGGGTGGGCTTTGCATTTATTTATACAATTGACTGGAATTGGAGGAATTGGACTCCTAAGGTACCCTATTCATTTAACATCCTGAAGATTACATTCCAGGACCTTTGATTCATTAGGGACTTCATGATGTACTGGGACAAGTCCACTCCTAATCTGAATTTATTGTTTTAGACTTTATTTTACAGGACTAGTTTGCTTCAAAGTGGCAAAGGTAAAACAGTCAAACATCTTAGTTTCCTCTCTCTTGATAGGTTAAATAAATTTTGGAAAGAGCAACGCAACTATTCTTAGTGCAGTTTATGTATGTTTAGCTGAGCTCCTGCCTTCTCCAGAACGTATTGTAAAGCCTCTAAAGATGCTTCTGATGTGATTCCTCCTTGAATATATCAATTTAGTTATAGAAATTATAAAATTTATATAACTTTTTAATGTGTACGGTTGTTTTATATACAATATATATTGAAACATATTGTCATCACATTTTTATATCCTTTTATAACATGAGGGTATGATCTTTTGCTATCTTTCAGAGTACTGTATTTCTTCCTAATTCAAGAACACTCTGCAGCGTCTGCAGAACAGATTTTGTAACTACTTGGCATACATGTATGGGATATCCTCAAGGGATACCCCTCATGGGAGCCAAGCTCTTGCACTGTAATGGGCCTGGACTATTATAAAGGGAAGCACTGGGCTGTCTTCAGTACTTGGCATAAATCCTGCCATTTTGTCCTGTTTTCATCCATTCCAGTTGTCATCCATTCTGTGATTGATGTGTTATATAAAAGCAAAGCCACGCAAGTTAAAACTTCTCTTGTGCTTGATTTTGAAGGTAAGGAAGGGACATGCCACTGAGGTGAAATGATCTGTGAATCAGATAGTTTTGCAGATTCGCAATAACCCAATAAAATGAATTAGATTGATTATTTCAAATATAATTTTGCCTGTAATTTATTTGTAATTAGTTTATTCAGTTTGTTTTAAACAGGGAAGATGTTCTTTCCTAAAGAAACTGCCTGTAGCAGTCCATGTTTATAGTAAGCCCGTGTTTCTTTATCATGCCACAAGAGAACTTTAAATAAACACATTTCTGCTGAAGATAAAAAAAACATTGTTTTCTTTTTTTTTTTTTTTTTGTCTTTTCTGCTCCATAGCTCGAAACTTGATTGGCCTTCTCCCTTTACTTACAAAGGAAACCCGGACTATCTTGTACATGGCATGTTCATGACTAATTTGTAGGCCTTGGAGCGTTCCTGCATAAAGCAGTGTGTGAGCGGGTGTCCTGGGACAGACTTTTTCCGTAGTAAAAGCCCGGGTGTCTCTGTGTATCAGGCTCCCATGTCCAGTCGCCCGCAGGGCGCAAGGAGGCCGTGCACACAGCGCTCCTGTGCAGCTGGGGGAGGACAGAGACGTGCAGGGATTAGATGCACAAATCTAAGTAGTATTGCCAGATCTTACCCCTGCCCCCAGGATCTTTTGGAATTATCCAGCTAAAAGGGTTCTGTGTTTTTTGTAGAATTTTAGTGAAAGGCCACATCTTCCTTAGTCTAATGTCTGTGCATAACTGATGGTTCTTTTTTTTCTACCAAAGAATTTCACTTGCGTACACATGAGGGAAAAAAAAATAAGTTTCTCTGTTATTTCCGTAAAAAACAGGGTCTCTTTCCTAGCAAGATTAACATATTGACTAATCTTAGAGCAAACACTTTATTTTAATCTATCATTGTTTTCTCACTGTGGGTTTAGCAGAGGTCAGAAAAAGAGATTCATTAAAGTGATTGCACATTTGTTTTTCTAAAAGCACATCAGAAGATTAATGCTTTGCCAAAGAAAATACAGAAATACAGTATTTCTTTTAATAAACTTCAGCTAAATACAGTCTTAAAATCACACGCCCGGGTCCAGATGGGGTGTTTGCAGCATAAGGTACAACTCATATAATTTCTACTATCTGAAAACTGCTTAAATGAGCTCTATTTCAGCCATGCCATTTATTCCACACCTGAGGTGGAGTAACTCGCCCTCTGCTCCCTTCTCTGATGTAGAGCCATTGGAGAGCTAACTGCCAGTGTGTTTGTGCAAGTCTATTTGCTTATATAAAGGTCTCATTTAAGCTCCTCCACCCAAGAAATTCATGTTGATTTTGGACAATCCCTGGACGATTTTATTCCATAAAATAAATAAATAAATATTTCAAACCTGTGACACAGCCTTGCTCTCACATATTTTGGACTATTCCAAGTGTACTATTTGCGCTGGGGAGACGTGAACTAACAGGAGACATGGACAATTTTGTATTTGTCCAGAAACAAAGTAGAATATACATTTCTATACAGAGTACTATGATGTAGGAGTTTCACTTGACCGTAAAGTATGGATCAATCTGTGAGGAATAGAAAGCGTAGGGATCCCCAAATGCTCCACCACTTGCTTATCTTCCACTGTGGCTTTTCCAGAAGAATAACCAATGTGATTTGGTTTGGCCACATACCAGCATTTGAGAAAGAAAGAAAAAGTTGCATTAAACTGCTGAAACAATTCTCTTGGGTCAGCATTCACTGTCAGGAATTGCTTTAAATTGGAGAGAGATTATATGTGTATGTAAAATAAATCAGTAGACTTGGGAATCCGAATAGCTGAACATTTTATGCACAATCCTGCTCAGCATTGTGGTTTGACCCAGTGCAGTTGAACTGGTGTCCGTAATCATAATCAATCATAACAAAACTGGCTCTTTGAAAAACATTTCCTGCAAACTCTTTTCTCGCTAGAGTTGGACAATGCCTGAAAAATAAAGTATGGAAATGATAGCAAATATTTACAAAGGAGAATTGATCTGTTCAGCAGAATATATGATAACATACAAATGCTTAACGTGACCTGCCCTGTCACTTGTTGCTGTATCCACATGCCCATCATATTTCTAGTATTCTTTGTTTTATATATATGCTGAATATATATACACTGAATTAGACTTGTGATTTAGATAGCCCACTCCTGCATGACGTTAAACTGCTTTACAAATAAATACAATGTAGGAAAGACAGGTTTTTCTAAAAATAAACACTTAAATAAAAGATTAAAAAACATGTTTTGGCCTTAGGCCCTTGTTTAGAAAAATTTTGGGAAACGGAACAAGTTTTTTATTTTCCACTACCTGTGGAAAGCCTAATAGGCAAACTGTTACTTCCCATCTCATTTTGCATTCCTTGAGTGTGTTTTAATAAGCTCTTGATCATTTAAAGTGAACTGCTGCAAATTACACTGTAGTGTGATCATCAGTGCTTTTAGTAGAAATATTGGTTTGTTTTTTTTAAAAAAAATCTTTTTGTTGTGACTTCTGTGATAATTGCTTAAGTTTCAGGAAAAAAAAAGTTCCTACTGGTCTGTAGGACCAGAGCTTAGCAATGAGCATTCCCCATCAGATGTCTGACTCTTGTTGCCAGGAGATTTGGCTCATTCCAGACTAAAGTTTCATTGGAAGTTGTCATGTAAGGAGTGTTTGAGTATGAAAATGAAGCCTGAGATAACAGTATGGATTTAAGAGCCCAAATGATATTTAATACTTTTACATCTCTCTAAAGTAAGTAGAAGGAGTATGTAGCTTTGCGCTTGCTGTCTGTCTTCTTTCATTCTTTTTTTCAGCATGTCTTCTTCAAGTCTTTTCCATACAGTGGTCCCCCTTAAAAAGGAGGAATGGTGTATGCTAGGTAAAGCTTTTAGTTTAGTTAATAGAGCACTTTCCAAGGAGATGAAAGAAGAACTCTTACACTGAGGAACTTTAGAGCCATGTCACTCGCCTAATTAGCCCAACTTGTGCTTCAGTCACCTGGTTATCCTTGGAGAGAATGGTGAAGTTCTCAACAGAAGTTATTTGCCCAAGTTTCTTTCGGAGGTGCTAGCAAAGCAGGAATGAGGTTGCACAGTAACATGGAACCCTGAAGATCTAACCTGATCTTGCTCTTTATGTTAGTGCTTCATATTGACATATCTGGTCTTCATATTTTATCTCACTCTATGGAACTTTTGTGTGTGTCTCTATTTTAAGACAAGAAATTTTGGGTATATAAAGGTTCTTAGTGCACGAGGACATGGGCGATGGTTTGTCTTCAATGAAGGATCTCTTGTTCCTGTGTAACATCGCTGGTCCTGATCTCCCAAGGTAAAGTTGCCTCTTTTGAAGAGCCTGGATTGGTTTAAGTTGATCAAATGCCTTGAGTATGGTCTTGTGTTGAATGAAAGAGAACATAATGCAGAATGGCATACTGTCAAACACCATCTGTTTCTGTATCTTTCCCTGCTTCCCAATTAAACTTAAGTCATTACATCCTAAGCAGGTGATTCATCAGTCTGTGTTTACCAGTGGTGCTAACATAAAATTAAATTGTTAGGTCTTTATTTCTTTATATATTTATTTCTAGAGTTTTCCAAATAAGTGAAGAAAGATGAGGTACTTGAAATTTCTAATGTTAAAACAAAGGACCTTTTTTCTTTTATGTTTCAGACACAGATATTAAGGAGCTAGAGGATGTTTTTGGACTTAACGGACAAGTAGAGCATAAGCTGAACTTCCTCAAAAAGAATGTGTCAAAAAATATAAAGCTGGTACTGATTGCTCATTCTATTGGTTGCTACATCACACTGGAGATGATGAAGCGAGCATCAGAACTTCAGGTACATCAACCTTTCAGCCTGAAAGTTGCGTTAATAGCGAAGCAGAGCACGTGCTCAGCCTTTGGATAATGCCATGTCTTTTCTGTGGGTGCTATACACAGCATTTTAGTCCCTGTTTTCCTTAAAGTAAAATTTTAAAAAAGAATGACTAACCCTAATAAAATATAGAAAAGTAGTCTGGGGTAAAATTCTTATGTTGAATTTGAACTTACAAATGCCATCACAGTATAAAAGATTAATAATGGCTAAATATACTTAGGACTTTCTTATTGCTTTCTCATCTTTAAAAAATTTATAAACAGATCGCTAGATATTTGGTGATTATGTTATTACACCAGAAGTTAAGTCTTACTGTGATTTTAATAACATCTTACCTCATGGCAAGCAGATTATTAACTATATAAGGGGAAATATATGGAAAAGAACAGTAATACAAATTGTGAAGAGTAGTGGTATGAAGGATATTGGTTTTAAAATTTAATACATATGCATATATTTTTGCTTCTGCAGATCTGTCTTGGTTTGTGTAGTTTGAAGAGAATGGGAGGTGTTATTTCATGTTCTTGTTGCATCAACATTTTTCTTTCCTCCATGAAGCAATACGAAGGCTGAGGCAGGGCAGTGTCCCTGCAACTCTGGAGATAAGCACCAAACTCTTAGTGCTCAGTAACAATTCACTGTGGTAGTGGATGATGAAAGAAGAATATTAAATGGTTGTTGTTATTTCATATTACCTCCTCCTATATCACTGCCCCTTCTGTTACATTATACAATCTTTGGTGGAAGGAAGTGCAGTGTTAGGGTAAGGTCTGTATTTAATATATCCCTGAGTAGGTTCTTCCACTCCTTCATAACCATTTCTGCTGCCTGTCTTAACTTTTTCTTTCCTTTAAAGGAAACAGCAACTAAAAAAGTGATACATGAGGATAATCTGATACATTACCACACTCTTATTTCATTTTGTGTTTATAAACAACAGCCTTTTTGAGAGTGATTTTATTATTGCTTTATGATTTCAATACGGAAGGTTCTATAAAATATCGTACACAAGAATTTGTCCAAAAATACCAACTTTTCTTTGGTCAGCATCCTTATAATCTTTATTACACAGAAGTTTTTATCTGCTTTCAATTAAACTACAAATTGTTGTGTAATTCTTTTACACATGGTCCCCTTGATGCTGGCAGCATAATATTTATCTGCGTGTTGAAATTTAGGTATCTTTGGGACACTCTTAATCGGCCTGGTGCACTGTGCGCATGAAGTTACCATATGACACGCCACATTTAAGATGCATTTAACAATAGAAAATATTTGTGCAAGCCAATGTGTTGTGCAACCTTTGTCCCTTTGCCAAAAATAAGTTAACTGTTAGGCTTTATAACATATGAAGTGTGATAATAAGAAACTTGTGTTTCCATCCCTTGCTTTATTTTTACTGGAATATTTGATTCCCGCAAGATTTTGAGCACATGCGTGTATTTTAGTAGCTAGATCATTTGATTTTATTTTTGAATAGTTCTTATGTGATATTCTTTTATTATATGAGTTTTGGTTTTGGTCTTAAATTCTCTGCTTTTAAGAGCCTCTCACTGCTTACAGTTTATTATTCTGAGCTAGAGGTTAATGTGATGTATTTATTGTTCAAATAATTCAGTAAATGTTTATACTTTGGAGTTTATGTTTAGCAGATTTGATTTTTGGTACCTAGTATAAAGCCTTTTCATAATCTAACCAAATATAGACTCGATTGTCCCTCTCATGGGCAGTGGTGAAGGAACCTGATAAACTAGGACTGCAGGCATGAACCAGAGAAAGTGCAATGTCCCCTCTGTCCTTCTTGGTTGCTCCTCAGCTGTTATTTTGGATGCTGCAAATTTCTTGGGCCCTACTGTCTTCTGCAGGATAACTATCATCTTCTGCATTTTGTTTTCTTTTTCTTAAGGTTTGTTTGCTACCTTTCTGTTAAATACTGTTTTATTCTTTTATTATAACAGAAATGAAACTGGAATTGCCACTATACCCCTGGGATAAATTCAATTTTGGACCTTGTCCCTATTTTCTTGCTGACTTTTCAGGAGGCATCTGTTAATGGTTTCCACAGGAGACCCCTTAACACAAACTTAGTGTTTCATGTTGCCACCTTTAATTAAGTCTAATCAGAAGTGCCACATCGGATTACCTGTATACTCTTAACTAACTGGGGCTACAGCATAAGTTTTAATACTGGGAAGCAGCCAAGTATACGGTTAAACTCTCAGACTAGTCCCTAAGACCCAGGGAGCTGCTCTTAGCCAACATCCTGGCATAGTTCCGGATTTGGCAGAGCCAAGGACCATTCCCAATGGTTGTCCTGGGTGGAAACAAGCTCTTTGGAAAGGGGCAGGTGTTACGAAGGGGCCACATGGATACAGGCCATCCTGTGCTGTTCTGCTTTAATCTTGGGACCAGAAAATAGTCCCAGGCCATTCTGTTTGCTGGTACGGATGTAACCTTGGTGAGTTTTTCTGTGGTGGGTATCAAACCTAATTATATTTGCCTCTTCGTGGGACGTGAAGCATCCCGAGTTTGTCAGAGAACTAAAAATTTTCTCCCTGGGAGACAGAAAAATGCAAAGAGTACTCTTCAGCTTACTTGATACTTGTTCTTGACCTCATAATCCTTTTTTGCTATTTATTCAGCTGGTAGAACTCAGAAATGAAGCTGACTGACACAATGATTTTCTCAGTTTTTGGAGCTGATGCCTAGATCATAAATAGGCTGGATCGTCTAGTCACTGTCTTCCAAAATACGAACACCTGCCTGGAGCCTTTCTGAGCGCATTGCTGGGGACACCACTGTGTGCTTCCTAAAGGGCCCAGTTTCATAATTAATTTAACAAGAAGAGTGGCATGTTGCCTGGCTAATGAGATTCTATATGTTACAACATTCACTTGTGCTGGTGCTTTTGAAATGCCAGCACCTTTGTGGGCATCCCAGTTCACACTTGTTAATAAACCCACCCATAGTTTTTGTAAGTCTCATGGATGGGTAAGAGCGTAAAACCTCTGAGTTTAAGCAAATAACATTTTTATAATACGTGATTCAAAGCCATGCATATGCATTGTACCTATGGCTCAGTAATACTAAAGAATACTGGATATTGGCAGAACTTGGCTGATTTTAAACATAATAGCCAACAATTTATGTGTTGGAATAGTTGTAAAGACAAATTAGCATCTTGGAAAGCTCACCACATCATTTTTGTGCTTTGATCTTTTACATCTACCATGTCTTTCTATCACCATGTTCTCTCTCTCTCTAGCAGAATTCCTTTCGGTCTATGCCTTTGCTGTGAGAGATATGAGCATAAAGAAATGCCATAGTTCACATTTAATGATTCCAGAAGTGTATATAGTGCCTTAGCCTATATTCTTTTTTTTTTTTTCTTTTGGCTGTCTACAAATTGCATTCAGTCTTTCTCTTGAGGAGCTAGTTTTTTTTCAGGATTTGGTGACATACTTGGCTTAGAAGGAATTTCAGTGTGACTTCTTCATAATTCAGTAGACTTTCAACTAATATTTCTGATACTAGTTTGAAAAGCAGGAATATGTTTTAAAAATCTCTATTAAGTTTAACTGATTCTTGTGTAGTCTTTTTGTCCTGTCCTTCCAAAGTTTTTGTTGTCGCGTTGTTAATAATATGCTCTTTCATTGCCCTCCTTGCTCCCCTAAGTCATACCTTTGCTTTGACATATGTAGTCCTCATTTTCTGGTTGCGTGCCTGAACCAAAGGACCAGGTTCCATCTGTTGTGGACAGCTTGCTTAGAAACCTTAATGGCCTACAGATACACAACAGAATGACAGATGTCCCAACCCTGTTAGCCCCTGGTCTAAGAGCCTCCTTCCTCGTGATTACCTGCAGCCTTTGCAGCACATCTCAGTGGAAGGAGACATCTCTGCATGTGACACTTGGCTGGGATATAAGGTTTCAGAAGCTCTCTGCTCTTTGCCTTTGCTCAACCAGGACGTTTCTTTTTGTTCAGGATGTGTGAGAAATTATCTGTGTGTCAGGTAGGGTTTATTTAAACCGTAAAAATGACAGAACAAAATAGTTTGCGCTGCGATGTACATTTGCATGCTGTGTAAAATACAATAAATAATTATTTGGTTACGGAAGAAAAGAAAGGAATATTTAAACTGTGTTAAAAAATGCTGTCCATTGTCATCAGGGTGTGGAGGATCTTACTAGTTTGCAGTTAGATGGTAAGTGCAGTGTAAAGCAAAATAGCTGTTACCACATAAGTCATCTAAAAGTCCTCTAGTTCTGAACTCAATGCCTCATTCTGGTATAGCTGGACCTATTTTCAAAATGTATGAAGGTAGTGGTTTTAAATATATTCTAGATTCACTCTGGACTAGAGTATTCAGACGTGGAGATATTGTGTAGTATTTCTATGTTTAGATATTCTTTACTCAGGTTTTCATTTATGAAGTCTCTTGATCAATACTGATTCTGCAAATTACTAAAGTTTTTTTTTCCAGCTTATCAGAAAAGATACTTCTTTGCAGTTAAAGTTCGCAGAAGACAAAAGCTTTGAGTAGATTTTTTTTTTTTTTTTTGGAGATTTAGTTCTCCTAAGAGCAGAGCTGGGCAAAGAGAGGTTATTTTGCTGATACAGGCAAATACAGAATTTGTTATCATAGCAAATCTATGCCACCTGTTTAATGATTTCTTTTCACATGGTTTTGGGTTGGTTAGAATATTAACTTGCAGGGGAGAGAAGAGAGAGAATGTAAATGATTTTGCAGTGGTTTAAATTCTCACTTGGACAAGTATAAGAATCAAAGCTACCTCTATCTTATGTCTCAAATGGAGTTGCAGCTTTTGTGTCTAGTTAATACCCAGGTCCTTTCTGTTGAAGTACTTGGAAAACTTCTCCTAGCTTTAGTGAAAATAGGACTGGGCCAAAAGAGAGACAAATATGTCAGAATTTCCCTGCCAAGTGATTTATTTTGAT